GGGTTATTTGTCTGTAAGGAGGAGAAATGAAGGGGGGGGTATAGAGGAGAAAAGTTGTTTTGAAAAATTGAACTTACAGATCTGAGCTATACTTGCTGCAAATTGAACCTATCTTTCCTTCTTTGTTAAGTTGGTTTTTTATATATATTTTTTGGGTCCTGTTTATCGAAGCGTACATTGTGATGACTTGACAAACTAAACAATACACGGCCATTCTATTCTAGTGAGGAGCTAATTAGTGTCGATAGTTGCAGCTGTAATGCTTCAAGTTTGTGTCTGTTTGTTGTTGGATATCGACGTGGTATAAGTTTTGAAATACTGTGTTTCCATATTTTTTTGCAAACTCTTTTACTGTGTATTTTTCCAAATGCCTGTCCTGGCCTGCTCTGTCCAGCCACCCCTTTTCGTTTGCATATTGTTATACGTTGACCCGTCCTGTTCTGTCATGTTACACTACACAGCTGGGACTTTTTTGGGTCATATTTTGGGTTTTCAGTATTTTTCAAACTCTTTGTCAATTTTTAAACTTTGCTTGTACTTGTTTACTGGACTGGGAAGGTCTTCAGAAGTACACATTAATTACAGGTGATTGACGGGTGCTCTGGTGTGGTTTGCTCCTTCTTTCCTATCAAACATCTGTCATCCATATATCTCTCCTCCTTTTTAGTGTTTGCTACTCTCTTGTAACACTTCTAATCTTCGGCACTTACTTATATGACCTTATTGTGTTGAAAGTGCCGTAAAACTCTTACTAAAACTAAAAAGAAGTTCACGTTGGTCTTTCTCTGCTTTATTTCCCGACTCTGTCATATGTCACTTTTCGTAACGCCTCTAGTGAAGTCTTACATCAAAGTTGGCGATTTTGTCTTGTCAGTTTATAATCTGGAGTCATTTCACTTCCTTAGAATTACAAAGTTCTGACATTTTTGGCCGTTTTGGGTTATTAAAACCATGAGGTCAGAAACCTCCTTTCAAAATTGTAGAATTATTCGGATTTATTATCATGGTGTTCAATGAAATGCATCCGAAAAAGCTTGACATGATGTGGAACTCAAAATCTTTTACGGCAAATTTCTCAAAACTAGGTACTGAGCAGATAGAACTTTGTAGTTTTGAGGTAGCGATTTGTCATTTTCCTACAAGTCCTTGGTCTAACACTTTATCTTTGTATTGATCCTGGGTTTTCTTCCTTGTGCTCTGAAGCAACAGTCAAAGGAATTAATACGGCAATCATGCTAGATATTCACTGCGCTGTTTGTGTTTTGAGAAAAGTTGTTTTTCTCTCTTTTGTTGAAACAGCATCAGCATGAGGAGTCCCCAGTAGATAGTAGGCAAAAATGTTTGAGGACTATTATTTTGCATTTTTGAAATCTTTGACATGCTCTTTCTGTGTAATAAATTCATGTTCTGTTTGTTAAATGCTCAGTGCATGAATGTAATTTTTTCCCTTTTTTTCTTTCTCTTTGCAGTTTTTTAGACAGAGTCCACATAATCAAGCAAGCAGAGTACACGCCCTCAGAACAGGATATACTTCGGTGTCGAGTCTTAACATCAGGGATATTTGAAACAAAGTTCACTGTTGATAAAGTTAATTTTCAGTAAGTATGTTACATTGCTTAGCAGCAGTAATGGCAGTTATGTGGAAACTAGCTGCGCCCCCTTTCGATGAAAGGAATGATCGGTGCATTAACATCAACTGAAAGTCATTGGCCTACTATATTTACACTCTACTGGAATGGAGCAATAAATCTTTAGAGATGCAAAAAGTTAGAAGATCTAGATCTAGATATATACTCTCAAAACAAAATGCGCGTCACGAAATATTACTTCCGCATCAGATTTTCTAAAATTACAGAGACAGAAGCGATCGGCGAAATAAAGAAATGTAGCCTTTTGCAGCAAAACTGTCTCAATACTGAAAAAACGAAGGGCGTTATGATCTAGAGAATATTTTAAAGAATCATTTTGGTGAAAACCGCATGTCGATCAATGCAGCCTTTAAAAAGCCTTTTGAATAGCAAAATTCGGCCACCACAAATAGATAATAGATGTTACACTGTTTACCTACTATAATATCAGCTCTTATGTAGAAATCTTATTCTGTTTAGTAGCAATAATTGCTGCTATGTGGAAATGTTACACTGTTTGGCAACATATCGACTTCTATGTAGAAGTGTAAAGCTATTTAGAAGTTATTATGACTGCTGTACTGCTATATATGGGAAACAGCTGTTGATCAGTGTGACAATGTTGCTCCGTTTAGCTACAATAACAGCTGCTGCTCTGAGGAAATGTTACTCTGCGTAACTACAAATACAGCTGCTGTGAGGAAATGTTACCCTGTGTGGCTACAATAACAGTTGCTATGAGGAAATATTTCACTCTGTGGCTACAATAACAGCTGCTATGAAGAAACGTCACACTACTTAACCAGAATAATAGCTACTCAGTGAAAAGGCAGTCTGTGCCTAATATTTTTTCAGTCCACATCTGTAATTAT